CCGCTGTCATAGCTCCGTCGTCCCGCAGCTCCATATACCGTCCGCACGGCAAGGCTGCCGAGCCTCACCCACACTGGCCAGTCCTTGGTTAATGTCACTACTCCTTTGTCCTATATGTAAGTCAAGCTGCCAGTCACATTAACATGCGGGTCGATTAATGCGACATCCCGTACCAAGTCGCTCACACTCATCTCAGCACCTGGTCGTTGCTCTGAATCAGTGACGATTTGCGAAAGCAAGACGACCCGTTCCCTGTTTCGTCAGTAAGAAGCTGCGATTGTCTGAGCTGCAGTCGGCGAAGAGCTGGACTCACCGCGTTTGATACCGAGACTCAAAGTCGCCCTGGGGCCCGTATGAATCGAACTCCTGAACAGCCCGATCGTTTGTCTCTAAGCAGGCCACTTCTGTCGGCTTCGCTAGTCTCAAGACCTCCGAAAATTGTCTCCGGATCTATCTCTTATCGCATTTGTGGTACTTTGTTGAATCTACTTGTCGCAAAATCTGCCTGCAACAAGGGTACACTGTCTCTTTACCACTGGGAAGGACGCAGGCTCTTACCCCACGAGTCCTGTGACATTTCGTCATCGTCTCACTTTCAGCGAGACGAGAAGGCAACACCACCAACAGTCCCTAGAAATTCCCATCCCTGTCGAGCTGGGCCGTTTGATCTTGTCGAACCATCAGGTGCGTTATTCCTCCTACGTGACGGGTCCTCGAGGCGTGTCAGGACACCTGCTTCAGGGCCCCTCCATTGCTGCCTGCGCGTTGACCCCCACATAAACATTAGGCTACCTGCTAACATTTCTCTAGGGATTAGATAGTTTCTACCAGGCGCCGTCCTCGATAAGTGTCGGGACCTATCTCCAGTCTTGCGCAGTTCGGTCCTTGGTGGTGGGCCTCAGGCTGTCCAGGCTGCGAGAGCTGCAGAACTACTATCCATGTCGGGATACAGCAAGAACCATGAGTATGTGTATGGTAAGTGGATTGTGGCTCATCTGACGAGTGTGGAAGCGCACCTGCCATGGGTGGGTCGGCTGAACCCGGCACTGGCCCACGTGAGAACGATTAGCACGTTTGACTGACCACCTACATTCCAGATGCCGAAGCCACCAGATCAAATCAGGTTGCAAGCTATCCGAGCATTGCGCAGCCCGCATTCGCCTCGCAGTACACGGATGCGCCCGCGCTACTAAGCCATGAGCCCACGAGCGCAGAGATGCCCTACATCCCTAGCTTGGTATACGAGTCACGCGGTGCAGCAGGCCATCATCCCAATCCATCATTTATCGATGCAGGAGCTCGTCATCCCGCCTCTCTTGCAGATACTGAAACGGAAATCACCGAACAAATTACACCCGCACAAGGCACTGCTGGATCAACGGTAACGCTGCACCTCCGGACGAATTACGATCTTGATGCAAACCAGCATACTTTCATACTCATGTTCGGTAGCAAGAAGTGCGTCGCTGCACTGCAGAAAGTGGACTACGACGACGATGCATGGACCAACTACGTACTGAACGTCGAAGTGCCCCCTTTCCCACTGACCAACACCTTCGATCCTACCATGATGTTGAAGATGCAGATGGAAGACAAGATGGGCAACCTACGATCGGAAGCGGACGCTGGAAGATTCACATACACCGATATGTCGCCAAACCTAGCATACCAATCCTCACCCGATTTCTCCAGGAAACGAAAATACTCTCCAGAGTTCGCAAACAGTCGAGGCTACTCCGATGGCAATGTCGCAAAGCGAGTGTTTGCGAAGCCGCGCGCTTCGTCGGGAGCCTACTCTGCCGCTCAACTCTCGCCGCTACCGACCCAGTCTGCGTTGGACAACACGTACGCACAGAGCGCTGGGTACGACATATCCAAACAGACCAACTACGGCTCGCAACTGTCCCAAAGGGCTCTTTACGCAGTACCTTCAGGTATTGGCATGAGCCACGGCAACTACAAACTGCCCCAGATGTCGCCGATGCCGCATTCTTATGCTTCTTACAACCCCCTCACTCACACCAGTCGAGGCAACACCGCGACCGTTTTGCCCTCACCACCCGCTCTTTCAACACCAGTTCTGGTCCGTGCAACACATCTCGCGCAAGGAGAAGGTAGTACTGGTTCGACTCAGCCTTTCAATCCGTATGCGATGGGTCCGAGCAAGGCGATATTGGAGATCGACGGCGATCTTGATAAGATGGGCGACAACTGGTCGACAGAGGAGTTGGACGCGAAGAGACGGCTCGTCGAGTTCCAAAGATCGCAGCATGGCAGCAAGATAACGACTACTTTTGCGCCCACCACACTTGAAGCTCGACAGGGGCGTGGTATCTGCGTCAGCTGTATCTGGTGGAAAGAGAAGAATGAGTGCTTCATCACAAGCGTAGACACCATTTTCCTACTGGAGCAACTAGTAAACGTCCGCTTTACTGTCGAGGAGAAGAACCGCATCCGTCGCAACCTCGAAGGCTTCCGTCCCCTGACGGTCTCCAAGGCGAGGGCGGATAGCGAACCATTCTTCAAAGTTATTATGGGTTTCCCCAATCCCAAGCCTCGTAATATTGAGAAGGACGTCAAGGTGTTTCCCTGGAAGATACTGTCGCATGCTCTAAAGAAGATCATCAGCAAATACGTACGTTCTCCGCGACTAGCTACTGAGATCGAAGCTAACAAGACCAGTCTGCTAGCTATGCCTCAACAGCTGGCGTTGGACATCTCTCCACTGCGACGACTTCGTACGCTCCAAGCACTGCCCTGCAGGCAACACTGGACGCTCATCGACACACATCACCTCAGACCCTGCCTACTTCGACTGCTTCAACGACCTATACATCTGGCTTGACCTCGTCTAGTCTATCGCCCCATCAAAATGTGGCAGCAGGCTTCGAAGGATCAGCAGGACAAGGCATGCCGGTTGCCCAAAGGACACCTTCAGGCCAGGGCATGACTCTGTGGGGCACTACCACTCACCAGATATCACAATACCCCTCGCCTCTTTCTCATGGAGGACGAGGGTCCTGGGACTATGGATATCCCAATACTTCGGCTGCAACGGAAATGCCGCCAATCGCGCATGCGCTGCAAATGCCACGGCAGAACGGCTTGCCAGACTTCAGCCAAATGTCATCAACTCATGGCTACCATCAATACGGTGAAGATACAACGAGGGTGTAGGAGAGGCAAGATTGGGAGACAAAACTCCAAGGGTTACCGATACGACTACGCGTTGCGGGCTCTGATCTGCATCGGGTGATCAACCAATGTCCGCATGATCCATGCGGGCCTAACCCAATGGGGTGTTGCACCAATCGCTCTCCACACCACTCATCGCTAGATTCGCCTCGCGCATCCCGCACACCTTCAGACGTTCGCAGTTCTCTAATAATATCCGGTATCCTGTTTGGCGTTGTACACGGCGGTTTCGGCATTTGGACACTGGACGCATCATACCCCGGGGAGGCGGCGTTTACCACACTTTCGGTTTCATCATCGACTACACATAGAGGATCATCACTTGCGATACAAGCCATCTTACGCAAACAACCCGATCGCAAACCCTGTCGATACAGGATGGTCAGCTTTGCATTACATTGGCGTTTATCCCACTCTTTCTACGCAATAATCTTTCCCATGTTCGCCTTTCGGAGTCTTTCTTCCACGGAGCTCGAAGTCGATCGCTTTCCAAGGCAACATCCGCGCCAACCACAACTTCGAGCCCTTCCGAACTACCTCCCCCCATGTATCTCGATTCGCGTCTCGAAAGGATGCGCGACGAGAATATTTCCTTTCTCCCATATACCCAAGGCTTGGTGTTTGCCTAGTCATTTCTTTCGCTTTCTTCAAACTCCAGAGATTCCCCATTTCTTTAGCCATCCAACTGCACCGTATGTAGCGCAATGTATCTGTAACACACTAATTCTCGCCTCCACGCATGCGATCCTTCCAAACATCTTCACCGCAGCCTGGCCCGCACCCAACATGTCAAATTATGCGAGCTCCGCCACAATAGAGGGCGCAGTCACCCTTTGGCCCCAATCCTGACCACTGCCTAACACTTGCCAAGGAGCTACGACTTCCGCGGTGCCGGATGCGATATAGGCATCAGCTGAGCTTATCAGAGTAGGTGTTATGATCTCAGCATATCGCGCACGTTAACGAGGCGGAATGGGCGGTGGGCATACAAGGGCCCTCACAGATGACCAGTGGTTGTCCCGACGCCGAGGACCCGTGTCACACAAGATGTTCAGGCGATCAATCCTGGTCACGAAGTCACATGCCTTGATGAAGACCATCCCACGCTGAGTCCAGACCCTGGTGGTTTATACTGACTTGTTAGCGGTCGGCGAATTATCGTCGCAACTAACCGTGCCGCATGCGTTCCATATGTTCGCATCACGAGAACATGTTGCCTGTATGTCTAGTACGACCAAAACGGCCCAGACCAGACCTCAACCCCCAAAAGGCAGAACATCTGGCCAAGGCGTAATACCAAATCCCTTCACCGTGAAATACGCCCGAGCACATACATCACGCTTACCACACATACTTCCCATCAGATAAACCCCGAGCCGCTTTCGGGCATAACCACGTGCATCTTCTCAGCAGAGCCCCCAGGTTCAGCATGTCATACGCGTTCGTCGGGGCAGACCGACTGTTCGGTGCATCTGATCCGTTCTGATCTGACGGAGACGAAAGCACGGTCACGGGGCGTATGTAAGTCAGGGATCAGCCCGAGGAGGGCCGGGTGCTGATCTCACGTTGGATCGCGTGGGATAACGCAATGCTTACTGCAGATCGGAGGCGGAAGGGCGCGACTTGCCTTACACTGGGTGAAATGCTTTTGTGTTGATGATGGGAGTGGTTGTTTTTTTGCGGATGTTTGCGTTGATGTGCTATGTGACCTTCGTGGTGGCAATCCTTTCGCTACCATTTGATATTTGTGATGTGGCTACTACTTGAGTGAACGAAGTTGGTGTAGTAAGTGCTACTTCATGGGCTTAAAGCCCACTTTTCCTCATACCAACTCTATCCTGTGCAAGGTGTGTTGTGTGTGTGGGACGTTGGGTGTCCGGCCTGTAAATTCAGGCACACCTGTTTACAACACTTCTTCAACTTGACCATTGGATCAAAAGACCACAGAACTTCCAAGTTCGCCAACTCATCTCCTTCATTTGGTGAAAAAGGAAGCGAGATGTTCACCCTCTCCCTCGTCATCTCCACAGGCACATTCTCTTCGCCAATCACCTGCACCGAGGTGTCCAAATACTGCACTCCAAAGACACCCAACCAACTTTGCAGTTTGAGAAACGCCTGTAGCTCCTGCAAAAAGACCTTGTGCTCCTTTATGTCGAAGTCCGAGATGCTGCGATCATTTCCAGTCCAACTGAATTCAAACGGCGCGATCCCGCTTTCGGTGAAACGCCATTGCGTTGGGACGACATCAGCCAGGAGCTCTTTGCGGGCCGTATGATCGTTCCAGGGCTGCGCGATGTTGTCGACATGAACGAGCTTCTCGGCTTCCTCGAGCTTGAAGTGGTTGTGGAGAAGAGTGAGGCCGAAGAGATTGTGGACGCTGTGGGCGACGAACATGTCTCGGATTGTCGTGCAGATGAAGTACTCTAGGTTCTGGCTCTCGTAGGTTTTGTAGGCATCGTGGATGTCTGGGGCGGTGTTGAAATGCTGGGGGGTGTATGGTTCGAATTCCATGTTTGCAATGGTCTGTATGAACTGCTTGGGGGAAGGTAGAGTAGGAATCAGGGTGAGCTGGACTGAGAAGTAACTTAAATCCAGTCTCCGCGGCATTTATATATGCTACTTCCGTGTTGTCGGAGGCGATACACAAGGAGGTTCGTGTCGCCAGCCGTCAGGAGTGACGCATGAACACTCTAGAAACAACTGATCGGTGCAATATCCAAGCTTTGCAAGATGCCTTCACCAAAGAACGACTAATGAGAGATCTACGGCTAATTCTGTTAGAGCCCAACGCTCTTATCGCAACACCACGACGCCGGATGTGGACATACCTGCGGCATCACATATCCTTCCTTGGCACGCTTGACGGCGTCTGCGAATGAGAGATCATGCCTTGGGGCTCTGAATCGCATTTCAACCCCTTGTGACGGTATCATTGGTCCACGATCACTGCAGGCGGCACGATGGCACCAGGCTGATGAGTCCTCAGCCTGACCCCGCAAAGAGATCATTAGAGACCGTGATCGTGATCGTTCGATAGGTCGTGCTGATTAAAGGCGCATGTAATGCAGTAGTGTCAGTTCGACACTCGTGCAAAGTAATCCGGCAGATCGTAGGCTCGATGGTGTGAAAGTCTCGGCCTCATTAGCAACAGCAGTGATTGTCAGACCGATGCCAATAGAGCAACGACCATTCACAAGCACTAGACTGCGGAACGCTGTTGATATATCACTCGCAGAATGGTTCCAGGAAGATAGCAGAATAACAATTGCAATTTTGAGGATACTAGTCTAAGTACATGTACACATTCGATCTGGCTAACCAGAACGACTGCAAAGGGGGGCTCAAACGAGCTATAGACAAACGAAAGAAGCCGTAAGGGCTTGCTTTGAATATGAAGAGTCAAACACAACTTTTCCATCCAAATTTTCATGGTGATGGTAGCATCACACATGGGCTGCGATCATCGGAGCGGCTTAGTTCTTGCGGAGGATGCCACCGAGAAGGTCACCGAACATGTCACCTTCCTCAGTCTCCTCCTCAGTCTCCTCCTCAGTGCCCTCCTCGTAAGAGTCCTCAGCGGGGTAAGACTCGTAGGTATCCTTGACGGGGGTAGGGGCAGACTCGTAAGAGCCGAAGGAAGGGGTGGGCTTCTCGTTAACCATGCTGGGCTTGGTGTACTCGTGGACCATGCTGGGAGTGGGGACGGCGCCGTAGGCCTTGCTGGGCTCAGCGTGCTCGTAGGCCTCCTTGCTGGGGGTAGGAACAGCGCCGTAGGCCTTGCTAGGCTCGGGGACATGCTCGTAGGCATCCTTGCTGGGGGTAGGAACAGCGCCGTAAGCCTGGCTGGGAGTGGGAACATGCTCGTAGGCCTCCTTGCTGGGGGTTGGGACGGCACCGTAGGCCTTGCTGGGTTCAGGAACATGCTCGTAGGCCATGGAAGGCTTGGGAGCGTGCTCGTAACCTTGGCTGGGCGTGGGCTTAGCCTCGTAGGCGGAGCTGGTGACTTCGGGCTTGGTCTCCTCGTAAGAGTCCTCGTCGTCCATGCCGAACAAGTCGCCGAGAGTCCTCTTGGAGAGTTCGTCATAGGAAAGCTCGTCGGTGGTCTCTTCGGTCATCTCGGGGATGGCGTCGGAGTACTCCTCCATCTCGGGCTCAAGCTCGTCGTAGCTCAAGTCCTCCTTGGAGGGAGTGACGTAGTAAGAAGGCTTCTCCTCCTCGTCCTCCTCGTCCTCCTTCTCCTCGGGCTTCTCCTCCTCTTTCTCCTTCTCGCCTAGTCCAAGGTCATCGACAATGGTGCGCTTGATGGGAAGACCAGAAGATCCTAGAGTCTGTGTGACTGTGCAGCCGACTGTATCTGGTAAGCAAGGAAATCAGAAGTGATAGCAAGATGTAACATACCATCGGTTTGGGAGCAGGCCTTGGTGTCTTCAGCCTCTTTGGCGAGAGGAAGAGCAGCAGCGAGCTGAGCAGCGGCGATGATAGCGAAGAACTTCATGTTTGCGTTTGATAAACTTCGGTGGGAAAGATCGTAAGAATTATTAGAAGGGATTACTGTAGAGTAGTGACTGTTGTGTGAATGAGATGTAATGAGCTGATGAACAATAAGGTGGTATGAGATGTTGCCTTATATGCTCGACTGTCGATGTCTATCCTGATGCTTCTTCCAGTGCACGGTGTTGCAGTGTGCTTTTTGGCAGCGTCGTGACTGCACACATGAAGATCGGATCTGTGCTAATCAAAGCTACCAGAAACATTCCAGAAGCATTGTTCAACGGCCACTTTACCGGTGCATCACCATAGCGGTGAGAAGTCCGTCGGCTCGTGGGAAACATCTCGTCCATGCCTTGAGCTGATCGCGCGTCTGCATCCTGATCACAATGCCGGCCATGGAGCCGATCGGCGCATTGCTGAGCAGATACCACATTTGGAGACAGCAGTGCGCGCCATGGACGTGAACCATTGCTTCACTCGTCACATGAAACGGGGATGAGGCGATCCTTTGACCAAAACCAGCGCGTTCGTATTCTTTTGGGACATACCATGCCGTGTACTTCTCAGCATCTGCAACATCTGAAGGTGATGCCTGCAGTCATTTTCACGAGACGAGATGTCTCATCTCAAGATCGTGAGCAACGACTCGACGCCAGATTGAGGATGGACATTCTCCAAGCAACACAGGCGCACGACCTTCAGAGTTGCTTGCAACAAGCTTCGGCGGTCAACTAGCTCATACGTCTAGCTTCAAGTAAGTGCCAGACTCGTGGTGATCTCGGGTATGTGGAGTGACAGGAACAGGATCGTGAAGTCGGGGTGCAGAAAGAAGGATGGGAAAGAGCAAACATCGTTGGGGATGCAGAACCGACCTAGCGCCCGCTTGGTCCGCCCAAAGTGGGGTGAGGCGAGAACATCAATGGAGCGGTGGACTAGAACCACAACGCATTTCAACGGCATCGTGTATTGCATTGTTTATCTTGTCAGATTTGGGAACATGTGAGACCCCCGCGCGCTAGGCAATCGATAGTACTGTTACGAGAGCTAATGCGGCATCTTCCACCACCGCCACCATCAACGCAACCTGACCCCGCGTTCGAATCCATCACTTCCTCCTCGTTATAGTGCCTTGCTCATCAGGAGTCGACGGATCATAGCATTTGAACGATTTTAATACGCCGAAACGTTGGTCTCTCCGCTGTTCACAGTTGAACCCTTCGCAGCAGCTGTCTTGAGGGACGTCGCCGGGATCAACATCACAAGATTCTGGACGCTGTTAGCCAAGGGCCCCACGCTCCGTCCATATTGCTTTCACAACCACAGTTGGACAGCAGAGGGATTGCCAACGCACCACCGATAGGTTGACATGTTAATTGTCCCGATCCATGTAGAGATAGTGAGGCTGCCGATGATGCAAGTGCGAAGAGAAGGTGGATGGCGATCTTCATGGCGAACGAGGAAAGTTGGGCACTCATGGTAAAGCAAGTCAATTTGGACGAGGCTGACGGACGAGGCTGACGCTGACATCCATTTCTTTATTATAGATCATCTTCATTGTTGTTTCGCAAACACCCTTGGGTTTTCGCCTTGCACAAGCTCGTCACGCATTTCTTCTCGCTGTCTCAACACTCGAAGTGGGCCCGGGACTTAAAACGCCAGCTTCGGCGACTGAACTGCTCGCAATTATCGTGAGATCAATTTGCAACGCGTGTTTCGAGACTATGATATGCTCTAGGCGGCCCACCGACAACTTTCTGGTCCGGGTTTCGGTGCGTGGTGCACCCAATGATGACAATTCGCATGTCGCGCGTTGTGCGCTAAGTCGACGAACGAAAAAGCATCATCTGCCACGCATCAGTTCAATGTGGGTTTCGGGCCTTTGTTCTCAACGTCTTACTTCGAGCTTGACGGTCTGAATACAATCCAGATGTCGACACATCTCTTACACCTTTGCTTTCAACGCACCAGGACCATGCGCTGCACTATCTACAACGCGACTAGCCTGACACGAGACGATACATACAATCCCCTCTTCCCGAATCACAAGCGACGAATGAAAAGAGCCGGAAGCAGCGAGAACGACCTTCTCTCGTGCACCATCTTCTTTCCACCAGCAAGCACATGATGACCAACTACTTCAGCCACAGCAGCACAAGCCGGCGACGTGTCTCACCACTACGGTGTATGCAAAACGCCCTGTTCTTTCGCCCACCTCTCACCGCAAAGTGCGCCGTACGAACAACAACCACTCATTCTCCGTGACTAGCAATTCTCTGTCGACCTCAACAATTTTGATACCCTACAAGCAACACTATGATGACGTACGTGACCCTATTGTGCAAGGCTGATTCCCCGTATCAAAGCTTCAGCACCATTACATGCCGCGGACTTCACTACATCCTCATATCAAAGCTTCACGAAACTCACACACCCCCTGCCACGCTCATTCCGGCATCGAAGATACCCGTATCAATGCTCCATAGCGCTCATACACCTTCTACCTGCCTAGTTTCCACCCGAGAACTTCTCTCTCACACACCCCTCAGTTGCTATGTGCATCACATCATAGCTCCAGACTCTCCTGGTCATAGCACATATGCCAATCATCCAAATGCCCATGCCCATCCCACCTCCTCTCACACACCATCCCCTTGCAACATCCCTCCTGGGGGCGATCAGGTAGCAGCCTGCAATGTTCTGTAACTAAGTTAGTCGTGTTTCTTCATCGTTAGCTAGTATAGCTCAAACAACACGGGGTAAGAAAGCGGAGCAGTGAGATCAGGTACAGGGAATATTGAGACTTACGCTTCACAACCCGACACTCCGGCTCTCCGAAAGACTCGACTTCCAATTCCAACGGCTTCAGACAGTCATGAATTGTCTGGTGGTAACTCTCCCTACACACCAACCCCTTGCAACATATCTGCGGCATGTCGATGTCAAGGTTGCACCGCACTGTCATGTATGATTAGCCTTGACGTAATGACGTAATCACCATGTTGAAATGCTTCAGGTGTATAGTAGTGGGTGAAAAAGGAGCGGAAGCACGAGACGAGAGAGAGAGGGGGGAAATGTACTTCCGTATGGTAAGCACTCGGGTGCAAGGACCGACTGGGCATGCCAGTTATTGTTGACGGTGATGGAAAGACAGGTTGCTGTCGTGATGAAGAGAAGCGTCAAGAAAGGTGCTTTCGTCATTATTGCGGGCTGTATGTAGTGCTGATGTAAAGGTACCAGGTATGGAGATAGAGAGAAGAGATTGTGTGCAAACGATTATCTACATACTCATACCAATATATACATTTACAAAACGCCTCTACGTAGTACAAAAGAACACAAGTAACGACGTCGTACAGCTCCTCTTCAGCATAGTCGTCACGTACCTGCTGCACAAACATCGACTACCAAGCGCACCTTCTTCTTTCAACTTTTAGACCAGCCACTTTAACGTATTACGACCAAATCAGCGAGTGAAAGTGAAATGCTAGTAAAAGGACTTGCTACGTACGTTGACATCGAATTTAGCCTACGATGTCATAGGCACTGTATGACTAGCCCTCTACATCCACCGCTTTCGTGCCATAGTAAGTACCCTTTTCTTTCAACTGGTGTAGAAGCCACCTTGATCTATTACAACTTCAGTCAACAAATGAAACTTGAAAGCTAGTCAAAGGACTTCCTACGTACGCAAACATCGAAGTTAGTCTACGCTGTCATAGGCGCAGTATAAGTAGCTTTTCACATCAACCGTTGTCGTGCCACGATACGTATGTCCAGCCTTAAGTCCCTCGACTTCTGAGGGGTGCGTGCACGTACTTGGAATGTTGGACAAGGTTAACGGTGCCGGAAGCTCGGAGAAAGAAGAGTTTACGCGGCGAATGTCGTGGCACGATTTCGACACTTGCGATACATGTGAACATATCACATCAACCAATTTGAGAGATGTGAAGAAGTGTATGAAGCGCAAAAAGGTGTCTTTTCATTATCTACATGACTCATGTTCCTTATCATCCTTATCATCCATCCATTCCTTCATCTATCTCATACTCATGCGAAGGCGTAAAGGCGGTCATTACTGAGGAGAGACATCGGGGTCGCAACCGCAATACAAAAAAACGACGGCAAAGCAAACAAAACAAAACAATCTAAAATCCTCCCACAGCCACCCCACCATCTTCAAAAAGGGAGGGTGCCAGTGCAGCAAGGGTATAATGCAACTTCTCCATCTTCATCTTCCACATAGACCAAAGAAAAAGGTATCATCAAACAAGCGTCGTCATTCTTCACGCTTATTTCTTACCCTTCTTCTTGTTCTTCTTCTTGTTCTTCCCCGAGCTAGGTGTAGCCTCGCCGTTCGCATCGCCCTCTTCGTCTTCGGCTTGGTTGCCAGGCGTGGTGGGTGTGGTAGGTGTGCTTGGCTCTTCAGCTTCCTTGGTAGCTTCAGTCTCGGCGGCGCCGTCAACGGCAGGAACGTCAGCAACGGCTTCGGGCTCTACCTTGGCTTCGGCGACGGGCTCGGCAACGGGCTCGGTGGCGACTTGCTCAGGGGCGGGCTCAACGGCGGGGGCGGCGGATTCCTTGGACTCGGCCTTGGAAGAGATCTCAGCGTTGGCCTTCTTGAGTTCCTCTTGTTCAGCCTGAGCCTTCTCGAGTTGCTCCCTAGCGCTGGCGAGTTCCGTCTTGATGTCGTCACGCTCCTTCTTCGCGGCTTCGGCGTCGGATGTCAGGGCGCTGGTCTTCTCCTCTTGCTCCTTCAGGGTAGCCTGGAGGGACTCGAGGGACTTCTTAGCGTCGGCAGCTTCGGTCTTGGAGGTCTCGAGGTCCTTGGTCGCGGTTTCGGAGGCAGCGGTGGCCTCGTCGAGCTTAGCCTGGAGGGCCGTGAGTTCAGACTCCTTAGCCTTGGCGGCCTCGACGGTAGACTCGAGCTCAGCAATCTTAGCATCGTTGGCCTTGATCTTCTCCTCAAGCTCGCTCTTCTCGGCAGTCGACTTCTCAGCCGAGGCC